AGAATATGATTCCTTGGGAGTCCGGGCAATGACGATTTCTGGTCCCAGACTCCACAGAGTTAAACCCTGTAGTGTTATCCCACGTCACAATGGCGTCAGGACAAGAACAGGCTGTCCCAAAGAGGAGCGTTTTAGCTCCACCTCCTTCCTGGAAGTGGAAACTGGTTTAGCAGAGAGCTAGGGCTTTTTTTTTTTTTTTTTTTTTTACATTCTAGGGGAATAACCAGTCATTCCTACCAGAAACAGATCCCATTCCTCTCAGTGCTGTCTTCCCTAAATCCCTCACTCCCCAAGGTTCTTAAGACTGATTCCCTTTGTCCTTCAATATCTCATTTTTAAGAGATGTAAGAGAAAAGAAGGCGCCTTGGAAGGTATTTACTTCTAGCTGTATGGTGGAAATACTGTGTAACACATCTCTTCCCAACTCTTCCCAGAGTTCAGTTATGTAATGTTGGTAGCTTAAAATTGGCCATAGTGGGAGTATTTTCACCATGGGAATTGGCAAACATGACAAATCAGGGGTTTTCCTCCTCCTTTGGGATCTATTTATTAAACACTGACCAGCATACTGTTGGTTTTAGCGATGTTTCATCCTGTCTGGGTATGGCTTCTGAAGTTGGCAAGGCTTATACAGCACTCACTCCTGTGGCCACTGAGAGTAAGGCTTCCAGCAGCCAGACTGGGGCCTCGTGGGTCTATTAGATATGACCCAGATTCCTCCCTCTTCCAGGCCCTTCCATACTTTGACCGACTAGACTATGTGTCCATGATGTGTAATGAACAGGCCTATTCACTGGCTGTGGAGAAATTGCTCAATATCCAGCCTCCACCGCGGGCACAGTGGATCCGAGGTATGTCCTGTCTTCTCCTTCCTACAGCATAGTACCCACCCCGTCTTAGGAACATGGAACCCAAGTGTAGTATTCAGACCCCAGGCTTTGCTCAGAACTTCTCTGTCAGCTCCTATACCCTTCTGTTGTTTTTCCCTCTCCTCAGTGCTGTTTGGAGAAATCACACGGCTTTTGAATCACATCATGGCTGTGACCACACATGCCCTGGATATTGGGGCCATGACCCCTTTCTTTTGGATGTTTGAAGAAAGGGAGAAGGTATGAGAGGCCCATGAGAGAGAGAGGAAGGAAAAGATATAGGGAAGGAAGTAGAGAAGGAATGGAGGAGACAAGAGATTAAAAGAGAGAGACAACATGGGGAGGACATTTGTGAGGAGGCAGTGTAGAATATAAACCCAAGTTATGGTCTCAGGAATTCTGTCAGGAAATGTTGGTTGGGCACAAGAAGGTAGGGGATAGGGGAGTGTACCACCATGTTGTTGGACTAAGAGGCCTAGGATTTGGTCACTAATTCCCAATGTGTCCTATCAAGATGTTTGAATTCTATGAGCGAGTGTCCGGAGCACGAATGCACGCTGCTTATGTCCGGCCAGGAGGAGTGCACCAGGTGAGCAGCCACCCCGCCTCCCTAAACTTTCAGCTGTGTCTGTATTGTCTGTGGCCACTGGAGGGCAGCGCTGGTTGGTGGAATCCCAAAGGCTGGCTTTCCCCTGTAGCAGTGGGAGAGAAGACAGCTGGCTCTCCTTAGTGGAATCTCTCTGTACTCATTGTCACCCTCCATTTGCCTTCCAGGACCTACCCCTTGGGCTTATGGATGACATCTATGAGTTTTCTAAGAACTTCTCTCTTCGGATTGATGAGGTGGAGGAGGTAAGTTAGGAAATCGTTAGGAACAATCTCTCTCTCTCTCTTTCTCTGTTTTTTTTTCCCCCTAAGCCCCCACTTGTAAAGAAATACGGGAAGTATCCTGGCATGAAGAGTATTAACACACAGGTTTTCTTCACCAACAGATGCTGACCAATAATAGGATCTGGCGAAATCGGACAGTCGACATTGGGGTTATAACAGCAGAAGATGCACTTAACTATGGTTTCAGGTGTGAGGAGTGAGACTTCTCTTCTGGGTCCTTTTTGTCAAGATGTCTGGCTCTGACCCCTCTCTTTAGGGTTGGCACTGTAGTTGAGGGGAAGGGTTGGAGAGTTCCAGCCTAGTATTTTAACTTAAGGAATGTCACCCTCCTTGTCATGCTCTGGAGTTTTTATTCCGTACACTGAACACAGGGTGTGGAAAGAGGGAAATAAAGTGGGGGATGTGTCTCCTTTCCTGGTTTGTGGAAGGTGGCCCTTATTTCCATTGTCCTCTCTGCAGTGGGGTGATGCTCCGGGGCTCAGGTATCCAGTGGGACCTGCGAAAGACACAGCCCTATGATGTTTATGACCAGGTGGAATTTGATGTTCCTGTTGGCTCCCGAGGGGACTGCTATGATAGGTAAGGCCCTAATCATTTTTGAGCTCATTGTCAAGCTAGTTTCCGCTGCCTGACTTTCTCTTTGCCCACTTTTCTTCTTTACTCTGCCTCCTAATATCTATGACAATGCTTGTGGATATAAAACTGGGTTACTTTTCAAAGCGCTTTCATATTTGTAACATCCTTATTTTGTTTTTACATTATCCCTATGCTTTTTTTTTTGTTACTGTTTGGTTAAGAGAATATTTAAAGAGGGAAATATTACAGGTCATGGTGTGAGGAAATAAGAAGAGGATTTGGGGAAGGGGTCAATAGTAGAATCATAAGACTGCGGGACTTACATGGGTGGCCAAACCAAGTGGAGATGCTGTACTAAGGAGAAAAGAAGGAGAAAAGTTTACCTAACTCTTTTTTAAGTTGGGCCAGAGGGCATCCTTCCCTGGCCATTATCTGATCCTCTGACCTTCTCTGGTTCTGAATCTGTCTCATCTGCTTCAGGTACCTGTGTCGGGTGGAGGAGATGCGCCAGTCCCTTCGCATCATCTTACAGTGTCTAAACAAGATGCCTCCCGGGGAGATCAAGGTCGATGATGCCAAAGTGTCTCCTCCTAAGCGAGCGGAGATGAAGGTTGGCTGCAGGGAGAGGGAAAGTGGGGTCTTGGAAGGGGGCCAGCAGCCAGGGAGGTGTATCCTTGTGTTAAATGCTGCTGTTCAGTTTTCCTTTTTCAAAGATTAACTGTATATGATTTTTAACCTCCCCAGGTCACCTCTCTTTACTCTCTCTTTTTTGCTCTGACATATGTGAGTTTTTAGTCTCCCTGATGAGGATTATTGTTATGTGCTATTGAGTCGGACCCGACTCGAGTCATGGCGACCCCTCCTTGGGTTTCCGAGGCAGTATCACTGAGGCAGTAGATTGCCCAAATTTCCTTCCAAGGAGTGGCTGGTGGATTTGAACTGCTAGCCTTCTGGTTAGCAGTCAGGTGCCTTAGGCACTACACTACCAGAGCCCCCAGGATAGAGATTTTTTTCTATGCTGGGGAAAGGCCCAGGAGATCAAGTTTGTATCTGACTTTTTGTTACTCCCTTTTTGTCTTCTCCAGACTTCCATGGAGTCATTGATTCATCACTTTAAGCTATATACCGAGGGCTACCAAGTTCCTCCAGGGGCCACATACACTGCCATTGAGGCTCCTAAGGTGAGGAGAGGAAGAGAAGAAAGGCAGTATGTGGAGTGCATAACTGGAAATAGATGTTCAAATAAATCCCTGTTTATCAGTGAGAGGACATGAGGGTGAATGGAGAGGGGGTTTTTAGTGGAGAAAAATGTTCTTCCTGTTATTGGAGGCAGCCAATCTTCTTCCTCTGACAGGGCGAGTTTGGCGTATACCTGGTATCTGATGGCAGCAGCCGCCCTTATCGATGCAAGATCAAGGCTCCTGGTTTTGCCCACTTGGTAAGATCCAATCCCAATGGTTCTAATTCCAGTAAATGAATTAGTAATTTATTGATCTTTGTTAAATTTTTATAAGCTCTCCTTCCTTCTCCTATCCTTGCAAATCCTGCCTAACACTGTTACTATCTCAATCTCCTCAGGCTGGTTTGGATAAGTTGTCTAAAGGACACATGTTGGCGGACGTCGTTGCCATCATAGGTATAAGGCCCATTGTGTAGTAGAGATGTCGTAGACAAGGGGCTTGGGGACTCCCACTGGGGACAGAAACTGAGCCCTCCCTGTTTGGCACAGGCTATGGGATGAACTGAAGTCCTTAGTCTTCTACACATAGGCATGAGTTCTAAATCTTTTTCTCCACCCCTTAACTTCCTAGGTACCCAAGATATTGTGTTTGGAGAAGTAGATCGGTGAGCAAGGAAACAACATTTGATCTCCCCCTCCTATCCAGCATCTTCAGCAATGTTCATCATCATTGGAAATGGGTGTGTGTGTGTGTGTGTGTGTGTACGTGTACATGTACACTTAGCTATCAGGCTTTCTGTGTGTGTACCAGAAAAGGAAAAAAGTAAAATAAATTAGCCGCTTTGCGGCCCCGATGTCCAAACTTCTGCTAAGTCTTTCTCAGAATTTTGTTATTATTTACTTTGATGGGAAATATAGGAGGATCTGTTAACTCTCCATTTCTCTGTTATACTTAGTTCTTAACCAATTTTTCCTGTTTATCCCCACCCCCTTTTCTGATTTGTATGTTTTCCACTTCTCTATTCCCCATTTCCTCTTTTCTTCTCAGTCTCCCCCATCCAAACCCTCTCATTGTCCACACAAATTGGTAAAGTTCTGAAATCCAGACAAGATAAAGCCAGGTGGAAAGGGAAGGGCTATGGTGGGGTCTGAGGTAATCTTGAGGGGCAATTTGTCATAGATATACTTCTGAACAGAGGTGGAGTGAAAGATGGCAGAAATAGACAGCCTTACCCAAGCTAAGAGTCCCCATGGTCAATGAAGGACTGAGGATTAAGGGACCAGATCTCCCAGCTCCCCTACTTGGCCCTTCCGGGAGCCGCCCGGTCTCTTAATGCAGGAAGGGGAAGGGGCCAAAGCGTGGGGGAAGGCGTGGCAGGAAGAGGGGAACTCTGTGGTCAGGGAACTGCTCGCCGAGCCTATACAGCTGCGCAGAGCTGTCAGAAGCTCCAGTCCTCAGCTCAGCCCCCAGCCCCCTGCCCAGGATGGTTCCAGCAGTGATCTTGCTCTTACTCCTTTTGGTTGAACAAGCAGGTGAGAAGGTTTAGTGAGGGACAGTGAGCTGGGCTCCATGGTGGGAGTCCAGGGCATGTGTGCATGGGCTGAGGCATGGACAGACAGGAAGACTGGCAGCGGGCAGACAGGCACAGGGCTGAGGTAGACTCAGAGAACCAGAGGCTGGTCCTATCCAGCCCCTACCCAAGGCACTAGAGTCTTGTGCTAATAGTTAACCTCCTTTCTTGTCCCTGTTTGTCATAACTCTTCTTGTCCTCTTCCTATCCCATTCCAGTCTGTCTTTTCTCTCTTAAGGATTGATACACTCCTGAGACCAGTTTGACAGGGGAGGGGTGATTTTGTGACATGGTCTGGTCTAAGGCAGTGTTCCATTTCCCACAATCGTCATTTTCACATAGGATACCTTTGGTCTTGTCCACTGGGAGCTGATGACTATCCAGTTAAATAGTATAGAGCCCCCTTTAAGAAGGCAGGGGCCTGTCCTTGTGTTTGGGAGTGAGGCAAGGGTGGTCAAGATGAATAGGCACGATTGTTGCTTCTGTGGGTCATGACTAGCATACATTTGGTCAGTATGCTGATGCAAGAACGGGCAGCGCAAAATGCCTTCTAGAGACCTTGGCATCAGGTGAGACATAAAGGCAGAAATGTCATAGTCTCAGCTGCTTTAAGGTGCTTTAAGGCTTCAATCACTATTTAAGAACCTTCGCTTCTTGCTCTCTCGGGGTTGTCGATGCTGGAAATTGTGTGTGTGTGTGTGTGTACACACGAGTGTGTGTAAGAGGGATGGTAGCACCTGGCTCCTGGAGAGGAGGGAAGTTCATAAACTTTGGGAAAACGGAGAAATTGAAAGAGGAGGAGCTCTACCAGCCAAGCTATGAAGGCAGAGAAGGATTATGTTAGCTCCCAGTTTGCTGCAATGGGATGAGGAGGGAGCAAGGGCAATGAGGCCTGGAGGAAAAAGCACATGTTTGGAGACAGAAAACCTGGATTTGAGCTCCAGCTCTTCCACTTAATTCTGTGACCTTGTATGAGGTACTTAACTTTTCCAAGCTCTGGTTTCATCATCCATAAAATGGCGATGATGATATTTCCCTCAGGGTAGTTTTGAGATTTATGCAATACTATGTATGAAAGAGTGTCGCAGACTCAAAAGTACTCTACTGGTATCAGTTACACACGCCCTTCTGATAGGAGCCTGAAGCAATCTCTGGAGTCCAGATCCTATTTGATTTAATTACACAAAACTTCCCCTCTCGGAGGCCCAGAATGAGTGACAGGGTAGAGTAGCAGGAGATGGAATCCACAGAGCTTGTGGTCATTCCCTTGAGCCAGGCTAAGACACTCCCACAGCCTTGTGTCCCAAGTCTTTGGACAAGACCTAGGGAAGCAGACCCTTACTTACTTGTTTTGTGGGAAATAGACAACTATGAGGCTTGGGCTACGAGATGACCAATAATGGAGTAATTGCTCGCTCTCCCTTCCCCAGCACACATCCTTCCTGTCCAGCCCTCAGCCACAGGTCACAGGGCTTAGCAGAAACACTTCTGTGGTTTCTGTGCTGGAGTTCGTCATTGTCACCCTCATACTCTACCCTTCTGGGCTGAGGTTTTGGGTCTCAGTCCAGTGAGCCCAGATGGGTCCCTTGAGGGGGGTGAAGTGCTCAATGGCACCTGAGGAATCCACAGTACCACAAAGTGAAGGCTAGGGGCTAAGGGGAAAGTCCTCAACTCTTAGTGCAGATAAGTTCCAATACAACAGAACCCTTAATGCTTCTTATTCTGCCCTGAAGCAGGGAGTGGGGGCTACTGTGTAAGGGCAGGCAAAAGAAATAGGTATTCTTGAAGGGGAAGGTAGTTTATTTTCTCACAAAACTCCCCTCCAGGCCCTGTCCTACCTCCTAGAGCCCTTTCCTTTCTCTCCTCTGAGCATCAGATGCTCCCTGATGCCCTTGACCCCATGGGCACTTTCTATCCCTTCAGCGGCCCTGGGAGAGCCTCAGCTCTGCTATATCCTGGATGCAATTCTATTTTTGTATGGCCTTGTCCTCACCCTGCTCTACTGTCGACTCAAGGTAAGGCTGGGCCAGGCTGAAGTGAGGGCTGGAAGGAGACGTGGGAGGAGGGTGACAGCATGGGTTTGAGCGGCGGGAATAAAAGGCTTCTCCTGTGGACTGTAGAGGGAAGGATGAGCTGCTAATTTCCCCTTTATTGATAACCTTTCCCCTACTCCAGATCCAGATGCGAAAGGCAATAGTCAGCTATGAGGTATGGACTCTCCCACCCTTGGGTGTCAACTGTTTTTCAGACTCTCAGCCCTTGTTGGACTCTAGCCTTGGGGTCTGAGCCTCTGGACCTGTGGGAGGGTATTTGTCAGGTGTTGATCTGTTTACATTTGGGGGACGGTCCCTCCCATCTCACCCTACCCCACTCTGCCTTCTAGCCAAGCCATATGGAAGAATCAAAAGTAAGGTGATAATGAGTATGTGAGAGTCATACACTGTGTATCTATGTGTGTTTGTAGTCATGTAGGCAAATGTATATTTGTTCATATCCCAGAGCATCTGTGTGTGTGCCCTTTAGCTCAGGGCTAGCCACCTCTGGCCAGATACCTCCCTGAGTGGAGAAGAAGGTACTGGAGGGCCCTGAAGGAAGTATGAGTCTCTAACACCTTGTCCTCTTTGCCTCCACAGAAGTCAGATGCCATTTACACGGTGAGTGAATCTGCCTCCCATTGCCACCACCCCCAGTTGCAGGAAGTCAACAGGAAAGGATGGAATTTTGAGTGACTGTTGGAATGAGGTGGAGTCTGTGGGGGTGGATGGGGACCCTAGGATGGGCTGGCATTCCTGACCATCTTCTGATCCCCATCTCCAGGGCCTGAGCACCCGGAACCAGGAAACTTATGAGACATTGAAGCATGAGAAACCAACACAGTAGCTTTAGAATGGATGCCCTCAGTCATTCTTCTTCTGCTCCTAGTCTTCCTTCCAGCCCTCATGGTTAACATCCACATATGCTCCCCTCTCCTGCAGTTAATGCCCCTTGACCCAACTCCCCTAATGATGCTTGTGTCTCATTAATGTTCACCAGTGGACCCTTTGCACTGTCAGAGACATGCTGGAATGCCATTCATTAACATTTTAGTCTTGGTCCCGTGCCCTACCCTTCTCTTTCTGTCCATCCCCAACTTCTACTAAGCAATACCATGAGAGCTCCTTCAATAAAGCCACTACAAACTAGGTTCTGTTTATTCATTTACCATGTATTTATTCAGCCTCTGCTAAGCACTAGGCTGGACACTGAAGATACAAGTTTGGTCATTTTTCACTAAACACCTTATTTATTTACTTATTGTGGTAAAATATATACCACAAAAACTTTGTTGTTTCAACCTGAAGATACAGTTTTGAGTATGGTAGACTTAGTCACTAAGATAATGGACTTCTGGGCTATTTTTGTTTGAGTGAAAGATGAATGTTGACTGTGGCTGGGAGAGGGGCAAGACTCTTGAGGCTGCTCAGGTGCCTTGGGATAGAGCTGGCACAGGAAGTAATGTGTTGAGAGTCCAGGCACATTTACAGATATTTTTAAAAAACAGTTGATTCTGACTCTACATGTGTCAGAGTAGAGCTTTGCTCTATAGGGTTTTTAATGGCTGATTTTTCGGAAGTAGATCGGCAGGCTTTCTTTTAAGGAGCCTCTGGGTGGACTTAGACCTCCAACCTTTTGGTTAGCAGCTGAATGTGTTAATCAGCTGCTATGTACCACCCAGGTAGGTTTTTTTTTTAAGACAGCAGAACCTAAGAAATTATTTCTGCACTCACCTTGGCCTTCTGTGTCTGGCAATAAAAGGTTGGGTTATGGAGGAACCTGGCTTTGTTCCCCAAGTAGTCACCAACCCAGATTACAGTGGGCTTCAGGGAGCACTTCCAGGGCAGCTCACCGTGTGCATGCATATAGGGACTAGCATAGCTGAAAAACCAAACATGCAGGAGAGATGGTGGGACAAGGGTTGTGTGAAGCTCCTAATGAAAGATTTTATGGGAACAGTGACTTTTCAGCAGACTCTTGGGCAAGAGGGGCTTTAGAGGGTCAACTACAGGGATGGGAGTGGGTGAGGCAAAGGAGAACAAGGCCTATCCAGATGGAAGGTCAGCTTCCTTGACCACATGGGCAAGGGGTCAAAGAATCCCTCTGGTCAGTGACTCTTATGTTTCCAGCTCTGCCAGGAGGCAAGATGCCCTGAAAGTATGTGAACCCCATCAGATGCTGCCAGTCCTGCCTCTGACTCAGCAGCGCTGTCAGAATTGGTTCAAAGTCTCCAAGCTTACCTCTCTCAACCTCAGTGCTGGGCTATATTTTGCACTGTATAAACCAAACCAAATCAAACTCATTGCCATCAGGTCAATTTTGACTTATAGTGACCCCCATTGGGTTTCTGAGGCTGTAAATTTTTATGGAAGTAGATCACCTCATCGTCCTTCTGCAGAGCAGCTGGTGGGTTTGAACCGCTGACCTTCCGGTTAGCAGCCAAATGCCTTAGCCACTACACCACCAGAGCTCCTTTTTGCACTGTATAGTGACTTACAGATTTCAAAGTGTTTTCCAGCTCATTGTACTATTTGATCATCCCTCTAACTCTCTGAGGAAATTCAAGCTCTTTGAAGTTAATTAATTTGCCCAAGGTCATCTTGCAAGTGATAGAGCTGGGATTCACACTGAGATCTCTTTGTCCCCACATATTTTGCCACATGAGAGGAAAAAGAAAAAAAAATGGTATTAGGAAAGAGAAGAGGAGGGAAGTAATTATGAGTGGTGAGAGTCTTGAAGTTGTCCTCCCTAGGACCTCCCATCTGCCCTTCTTTCTCTCCATGATCCCTGAAGCATTTCCCTGGGACTCACTTGGCCTGGGCCTGAAGCTCTGGGGCCTTGACCTTCTCCACCAGCTCCTCAGATTGAGGAGGCTGATGAAAATAGGGAAGAAATTGAAGCCGTCTCCAGTGTATGGGGGAAAGGTAACTTCAAATGAGATATGAGAAATGAGCCAGAGTAGGGAAGCAACTTTTTTAAAGATGAAGTGAGAAGAAAGTTTCATTGGAAAATGCTTAATTTTCCTTGCTGTACATTTTGAGATTGTGATTCACCCCACCCCAGCCCCTGCCCCCTAATATCAGTCCAGCCTGGTTTCTGTCCCATCTGGATTTAATTAAGATCCCAGAGTTTCTCTAGTCTCACCTATCTACCATGATGAGTACCTGTCAGGCCTCTAAATGACCTGACATAGTTGATAGCTACTATTTCCAGGCTAGTTCTATTAAAAACACCTTGATACTAGTGGGGAAAGGATTTGGAATGGGTCTTCACCAGACAGGGGAGCTAGCTGAGAGTTTTTGAATGGAGGAATGAGAGCACCCTTTGGGAGAGGAGTAAATCCAGGTCTTTTCTGTGGGTTTTACTGTGGGAGGGGAAAGCATAATGTTTCCTCAGCTTAGATGCGAAGGGACGATCATGGGTGACACTATAAGCTCATTCCTGGTAATCTTTCTCTTTTTCACAAAATGCTGAAGAGGAAATTCTAAGGGGTTCCCTCATTTTCTATGACTCCTAGATGTCTAGGGATTCAATTCATGAGCTTTCATTCCTCTCATGGTTCCATGTCCAATGCAAAGCTCTTTAGTGCTCCATGAGAGAAGCTGTTCCCAGGCCTTAAAGGGGAAGTGTTGGGTTTGGAAAAGAATGAAGGGTCACAGGCATCCTCACGTTGTCATTTCTACCATCTGTCTCTTCAACCCTCTCTCCACCACCCCACACCAAAGCCTCTCTTCTTTTAAAATCAGATTTCTCTCTGTCCTTTCCCTTCCCTCCCCCACTCCTCCTATCTTTCATCCCTAAAACACATCAGGCTCACAGCTTGACTCCTCAGTGTTTATTGTAGAAAATAGGGGTGAGTAGAGAGAGAAGCTTTAGGCCTGGCCAGTGAGTGTTTTAGAGGCCAGATAAGGATGAAAGACAAAGGTCTGGAAACCTCATTTGGTGGGAGGCTGTGTTTTGAGGTCCACAAATTTGTTGAAGAAGTTAACCAGATCTGTTCCAGCCTTCTTGACCAAGGGTGTCAGATGCTCCTTCGTCTTCTCGAAGTAAGCCCTGGATATGTGAGGACTAGAAGTCAGTATGAGGGACCCTAGGTAACTGGGGTGGAGGCTTGTTGGTGGTAGGTCAGAGCAGACTGACCCATGATTCCAAACTCTGGTGCCTGGCCCATCTTAGCATGGAAAAGCCCCAGGAGGAGAATAAAACCTTCTACAAGGCAAAGGAGTATATGCTAGAGATAGAATTCAAGGCCCCTTTCCTGCTGTCTCTATTTGTCTAGGAAGCTAGTGGGATCTGGGGGGAGGGTCATGAAAGGATTTTTCTCTATTATTTATGCCTAATCTTCCCTAATCCCTACCCCTGAGTTCAGTCCTCCCTAGGACCTCCCATCTGCCCTTCTTTCTCTCCATGATCCCTGAAGCATTTCCCTGGGACTCACTTGGCCTGGGCCTGAAGCTCTGGGGCCTTGACCTTCTCCACCAGCTCCTTGCCATATTCACTCATGGTCTGGAAGTACTGAGAAACCAGGCTCTGTAGATTTGGCTCCTCCGCCTGTCTCCGAACCAAGGCCCCTGTATGCACACACACATTCTTCTCAGTTGGTCCCACAGCAACCTCGTCCTGGCTGCTCACCACATCCTCTGCCAATACCCAGTCCTAGCTCTCAGCCCATGCCCCAAACAGATGTCCAGCTCCAGGTCTTTGGATGAGCTTTCTAGGCTTTCCTTTGAGCCTATAGTTGCCAGACCTGGGCACAGAAGCACAGACAGATGGATAGCTAGGACCATCAGCACCATCTTCTCCACGCACCTGCCCTCTCTTCCATATCATACCCACCTTCAAGGCTGCAGATGGTGAGGAGCAGCATGGTCATCGCAAGCAGCTTCATGGTGGTAGCGGCAGGGAAGGCGGCCTGAGAACAGGAGAGGAGACACTAAAGTCCAACGGTTTTCAACACCTCCCCAGGGATCTCCCTACTTAAGTCCCCACTCCAACCTGATTCCTTCCCTTTCCACAATTCAAACCCAGCCTTCTTTGAACACTGCCCACATTCCCTGTTCCTTTACCCTACCTAGTCCGTGTCTCTGCCCTTGGTGTCTGTGCCTGGCCTGCCTGACCAGGGAAGTAATAGATATATACCTATTTCCCCACCCCCTGTCAGGTGACAGATTGTGGAGGGGCCCAGCGGGGTAGGGGCTATGTTGCAGTAAACAAGTTGGAGAAGTGGGGGAGGAGGAGAGGACAAACTGGGAGATTTATGGTGATGAGATGAGAAGCAGGGGCTATAGGTCTTAGTGGAAGGAAGAGGAAGAACTTTAGGCCTCTTTGGGATTCATTTTTGGGGGATTCTGGGCTAGCAGTCCTTGGTTTTGAATGCAGCAGGAAGAAAGACTCCTACTTCTTTCTCTGGAAAGCTCTGACATATCAAGCTTTCAGCCCTTAGTATCTTTAGTCTACCGTGGGCAGCTTTCATCTCTCCCACCCTACCCCTTTTCACTGCAACTTGGCAGAGTGGTATTGGAAAAAAAGGAGAAAGAAAAGGGGAACTATAATCAGGGGCACGCGTGAGAAGAACAGGGCTTAAGGAAGTAGAGGTTAGGGTCGGAGGGCAAATGTGATTGACTCTGTTCCTTTGTGAGTTAATGTGTAATGAGATGGGGAGAAAACATGAGAGCCCAGAATGACCCTCCTGGGTGCTGATCAATGAGCACACCCTACCCTCCAAAAATCAAATTAAAAAAACAGTTTATCTCCCCCTCATCACCCCCCCCCCCCCCCACTGATGGCTCTGGCAGGAAAAAAAAGATAGATTTCTGCCAGGCTAAAGGTTGAAGGTCCCTGGTCATTTGATCACTTTATCAGTTCTAGGTAGAAGTCAGCCAATATTGAGTTAAGCAGGGGCGTTAACATCCCTCTGGTCAAGGCCCTGGCCCTTGTTCCAGCTCTGATTGTGAGTAAGAGCAGAGGTATATTGCCCAAGCCTGAAGCATTTGGGCAAGGTCAGCTAAATAAACATCAAAAGCATGGGTATCTCTGACCCTTTTGCCCTCAAAGCCCACTGCTTCCTGAGAGATGGGGGTGGAGGTGTGAGAGCTGGTGAGAGAGGCAGTGACTAAAGCCCAAGAAATCTTCCTCCATTCTCAATTATTCTCCTAGTAGGATCTTTCTCCTACTATTCCAGTGGAGTGCTTATTGTGTGAGTTACCCCCATTGATTTGCCCTTGGCCCTGAGGTGGAGCACATTTGGGGACATGAGTCTGCATTCCTGGATTTTATTTGCCAACTCTGCCTGGGGGTTCATCAGGGAAAGAAGGACTAATTACAGGGGCAGTTGTTTCAGGGAATATTTCTCTCAGAACTAAGCCGGAGAGCTACTGCTCCTCTCACACATACTCCCATTCCACTGGGAGGAAAGGATGGCGAACTCTGACAGATCTACACGTCTGTCCTGGAGGGATGTGTGTGTCTATGTCTGAGGGAGAATTGTTCTTGTGAGTAGTAGTCACGTAGTGGTGTACGGTGGTGGGCTTTCAGGTCTTCCAGGGATTCTCTATGGGGAAGAGAGGGGGGTATGAGCGAGGGCACGAAAGAAGTCTTCACAATTGTCCCCACCACCATCCTTCGCAAGACACAAGAGTACAGATTCACAGTTTCGATTTTCTCATTGGGCAGAAGGGTGTTTCAGTGGCCGAAGCTGTAAGATGCTCCCCCTAGTGTCTAGTACACTCACAGTTCCTGCCGGACCTTGGAGAGGCCGGGCATCTACTACAGTAAGTCAAAGGATCCACCAATCGAATTCCGTCTGCTTCTGCTGCCGCGCCCGGATTGCAGCTCTCCGGTTGTGAGGCCTGTCGCTCCTTTGCTTCGACCTCTCCCATTAGCCCCTGAGAGAACAAGGCCGCCTTTTTTCCTCAATTGGGCGGGACCCAATCGGGGAGAGGGAGGTAGGTTAGGTATTTGATATCTTTTTTCGCCCGGTTTCAAGATGGCGTTCGTGACCACGCAAAAAGTGCCGTGTGAAGCCTTAATTCTGCCATCACTCAAGATGGCCGCCTCCATCAAGATGACCGGGGTGTGCCGGGGGGAAAGGGGCAGCAAGATAGTCTGAGACGGTAAGGGCTACTACTCCATTGCGGGCCTGGCCTGGAGGCTTGGGAATGAAGAGTAGAAAAACTGGGACGCTGGGTAAGGTCTGTGGTAGGGGCTGGGATTAGAGAGTGGAGGAGGGGACGGGGTGACAGGTGGGAGTGAGAGATCAAAGATGGAACGGAGTGTGCATGGGGTTCGATCTCTCCATCGGTGCTGTCTTCTACTACTATTCCAGGTCTAGCGTCGGACCATGTGGAAGTTTCTGGGACTAGGGTGCCTGATGATGGGGGGTGGGGTCCGTGGGGGGTAGAGGGAGCAATAGCGTCCTTTCCCAGGCTAACCCCGGCCCCTCCCCCTCCTCTGGGATGAAATGGGGAACACATTGGGCCTGGCACCCATGGGGGCTTTTCCCCGCCGAAGCCCCCGTCGAGAGGAACCTCTGCCCAATCCTGGGAGCTTCGATGAGCTGCACCGGTTATGCAAAGGTGGGAACTTGGCAATAGGGTGTCTCAAGTTGGAAGGGAAAGAGGAAGGGAGGGTCTTGAATGCTGGCTGTCCAATGATGGGAACAGGAAGGGGGTGATCACAGCTGGACACCCAGCTTCAGGGAGGATCACGTTCCAGAATAAAGTGGAGCATTTTGTTGCAAGACTTGAAAGGAGGTCAATTCCTCTAAAGTACTTCCTATGGGGTTGAAAGGGGAGACTACCTCATGGGCTAGGGGTTCCTTTTCTGTACACTGCGCTTAATCCTTTCGTTCCCCTCATATTCCCTTCAGATGTATTTCCAGCACAGATGGAGGGAGTGAAGCTCGTTGTCAACAAGGTTCTGAGCAGCCATTTCCAGGTGCTCCAACTTCTCTGACCCCTCCGTACTAGTTTTCCTTGCCTGTCCCCTGGCCCTCTTCTCCTTTCCTTTATATACCAGACTTAGGTTATATGAATCAAAAGAAGCCCTGGTGGCACGGTGGTAAGCATTTAGCTGCCAACTGAAAGGTTGATGGTTCAAATCCACCAGCTGCTCTACGGGAGACAAATGTGGCAGTCTGCATACATAAAGCTTACAGCCTTGGAGACCCTATGGACCAGTTCTACTCTGTCCTATAGGGTTACTATTAGTCAGAATCTACTTGATGGGAGCAGGTTTGGTTTGGATTTTTTTATGTGAGTCAAATGAGGGAGGATATGGAGCTTTCTTTACCTCCCTTGCTTGTGGGACTTTATGTTTTTAATCTGGTGACTCTTGGTGTATGGTGGGATGTTTGGGATTCTTAAGAGGTCCTCTGGGTGCAGAGATGAGAAGATGGGATGCAGGATTGAAATGGTGCAGGAGTGCTTTCTCATCCAATGACTCCTTTTTCCACAGGTGGCTCACACTGTGCATATGAGTGCCCTGGGCTTGCCAGGCTATCACCTCCATGCTGTCTATGCGGGAGACTGTCAGCTTAGTCCCAGTGAGGTGAGGGCTCCACACACCTGGATCATCTCCCTAAAAGCCCACCTGGTAGCCAGGTCTGGAGGAGGAGGAAATGTGTGTATTATAGGGGAGGATGGGCAAGGCACCTGATTCTGTGTCTTCTAAATGGTAGGTAAGCGGAAACTTGTGTGAAGAACCCAGAGTTTGTCTTTATGGCTCCACCAGGGGGCGTCAGGAACTGTTACGGAAATCTTGTATTGGAGTTAAGCATCAAGGATCTGCCCTCTCAACAGGTGTTCCCCACTGTGGTAGGGGATATGGACAGCAGTGGCAGCCTCAACGCCCAGGTCCTTCTCCTCTTGGCTGAGCGGCTCCGAGCCAAGGCTGTCTTCCAGGTGACCCTGCTTCCTGCCTCCATCTCCTGAGGCATTTCCTCTTTCTTCCCAATGAGTGAACTGTTGTGGAGACATTAGTGGGAGGGGCAGAGGCAATAATGATCTTACTGAGGGAAGGACATTTTACTTATTGCTTTCCCTACCCAGACGCAGCAGGCCAAATTTCTGACTTGGCAGTTTGATGGCGAGTATCGGGGGGACGACTACACAGCCACTCTGACCCTAGGGAATCCTGACCTGATTGGAGAATCTGGTGAGGCATTGGGGACAGAATTCTTTTTACCTTGGCTGCCCACTTAGGAGCTCTGGTAGTGTAGTGCCTAAGGCATTTGACTGCTAACCAGAAGGCTGGCAGTTCAAACCCACCAGCCACTCCTCAGAAGGAAGATTGGGCAATCTATTTCCGTAGTGATACCACCTTGGAAACCCAAGGAGGGGTTGCTGTGAATCGGAACCGACTTGATGGCAGTGAGTTTGTTTTTTTTTTTTGGCTGCCCACTTACTAATGTTGGCTTGTTCATCTGTATAGTTCAGGAATTAGGAAAGGAACTTCTTGGGGGTTGGGGTTCCTAGGGGTAAAGGACCAGGTCTGGATGTTGTCTTTATGGCTGCTCCCTGACTCCATGTCTCCATTCTCCTCCATAGTGATCATGGTCGCTCACTTCCTGCAGAGCCTCACGCATCGGCTGGTGCTGGGGGGAGAGCTAGTTTACCACCGGCGGCCAGGCGAAGAGGGGGCCATTTTGACACTGGCTGGGAAGTACTCGGGTATGGGGTGAGGTGGAGTAGTGACAGGGAGGGACAATTCTGGACTATGCTGGGGTTTCTGACCTGTGTCCTACTACAATAATGTTCTTTTCCCCTTCCAATTTGGTTTTTATAGCTGTGCACTGGGAAGCTACATTGAATGTGGGGTCAGGCGGGGCCCATGCAAGTTATTACCACAGAGCAAACGAACAGGTGAAACTACCGATCCCATCTCCCACCCAAGAATGTCAGCTCTACCCTTTTGCACCTCTGGACCTCCACAGGCCTTGCTGACCTATTATGCTCCTTACCTACATATACATTTTCATGAATGCCTTCATTCCTGGTGCTGATGATCCTCTGTCAGGAGCCCTCTACTCTTCACTGATCATGATCCCTCTCTCATCCTTGCCCATGGTTCTCAGGTTCAGGTTGGAGTGGAATTTGAGGCAAACACAAGGCTACAGGACACAACCTTCTCCTTTGGTTACCACCTTACTCTGCCCCAGGCCAACATGGTATTTAGAGGTGAGGATTATTGCACTGATGTTCAATTTGCTGAGGGATTTAGGGGTATAGAGGGTGAGGAAGCCCTATCTTAATTCTGCTAATCCTTTTCTCCAAGCCTTGTTAAGTAACCTATTTGTTGCTGTCTTCCTCAACAGGCTTGGTAGATAGTAACTGGTGTGTGGGTGCTGTGCTGGAGAAGAAGATGCCCCCCTTGCCCGTCACTCTAGCCCTCGGAGCATTCCTCAATCACTGGCGCAACAGATTCCATTGTGGCTTCAGCATCACTGTGGGCTGAGGTTGTCCCTGAGCCCCCAGAGCAGCTGGAACCTCTGAGTCAAGTGCCCTAGGGCCAGAGACTAGGCCCTCTTCCAGAGCCCACCTTGCTGGGTGGCCTCTAAATCCTAGGAGCAGAGTGGAGACAGAACCATTCCCTCCTCAGAACTGGAGCTGTCACAGGGGCAGTTTATGAGGCAGTGGCTTGAGGCTTCCACCTCTACCACCAGCCCCACTATCATCTTCCTCATGTTCTTAGGGCTTTGGACTAAAGGGAATGATTGAGGGTATGTCTGGTTGAGTTTTCCCCTTCACTTTCTTTCCCTTAGGCTTAAAGCTCCTAGGCTCTTCCTCTTCAGAGCAGAAAATTCTGCATGGGATTAGCTTCCCATCCTGTTTTCTAGCCTAGAACCTCCCAAGGCTAGGAAAGAAGGGCTAAAGGGCTACATCTCTGGCCTCAGAACAAAGAGCCCACCCATTCCCAGAAGGAGATTTACCTTGAAGCCCTGAGGCTATCTCCTTCCCAGTCTTCTGTGCTTCCAGAGAAAGACTTTGTCCCCATGGTCATTCCCCACTCCCTCCATGATAGCATGAAGAGGCAGTTTTTGCTTTAGTCTTTCATTGCAACCACTGAGCTCTCTTTCCATTGATCCCAACTTCTGATCTCAGTATTCTCCCCTTCCCAATCCAGTGTATCCCAGATGGGCTGGGGAAAGAGATGAGCCAGGGTCTCAGCTGCAGATCTCCTGGAGCAGTGGCATCATGGCGGCTAGCCCCTGGAGGTGCTGAATTTGGTACCCATATGCATTGTTAATACTCCGGAGGTCAGCCAATAGGCCCAGCAGCTTTGCATACAGAAACCTTTGGAGAAAGCAGTGGGGTCATGAGGGAAAGAGGAGAGAAATAAGGCAGTTGGTAGTCTTTCCTTGAGGCCTTGGTCCCCTGAATTGCCCTTCAGTGAAGCTAGTGACCACTAGAGAAAATCATGCTCTGGTATGACAAATTTAATAATAGATCCCAAAGATGCCCAAGGAGGCCACTGTCTGATGCTGTCTTCTCTCAGCATGCCCATTTTCCCCTAAATCCAGAGCTCTGAGGACCAAGTGTGAAGAAAGCCCCAGGCCCAGAATTTCAACTCTGTGGAATATGAGGGTTTGGCCTTCTAGAGCAGAATCTAGAAGGTGGGTGTGTTCTGTGATATAAAGAGTCCCTCTTCTGGCCAAACTGGCTCACTGAGGAATGAATAAGAACAGAAGTGGAGCATACCTAAGAGCCTGTATAGATCGTAGACTCTTGAGCCAGTGTCTGGCTTTGGCCATGAAACTATAAATGACTGTATCAAGGGGAATGAAAAATGAAAGGAATTGGCCCAACAGAAAGGAGGTGAAGGGCTGAGGAAAAAGAGTTTACAAGACTCTTGGAAGGTTCCTTTAATCTGGATAATTTGGTGGATGTCATCAATCTCAGGAATGCTATTTTACAGGGCCTGTGAACTACTACTTTGCATCTCTACTGAATAATAATAATAATAATAAACCTGGAAAAAGTGAGGTGAAACAGCATCAGGAACAATTTGGATGCCTCAACTATGTGAGATGGGGATGGCCAGAGGGAAGGACTAGACTTGGTTCCCCAAAAGAAAGGACAGAAAAAGATTTACCCTGAGCTCAAATATCTCCTAGCTCCTTGCCCCAGCATGACCTCCAAGCCCCTAGTCTCCCATTGTACCGATTGTGGGGCCTTGAGTGCTGGCCCTTGATGAAGCTTTGCAGAGTCAGTGCCATTTCCTCTTGCACCTGGTCGATCTCTTCTCTCTGGGTAACCCCAGACCGGTCTGTAGAATAGGGAGCCAAGATGGACAAAGTAGGGGGCAGGGGTGGGCTGTACCAGGGGGATAAGGCTGGAATAGACTCACTCTACAGGTTTAAAGGCTAGAAGGCTGGGGATGAGTGGATTCAAGGAGCTGGGAGTCTGGGTAGAGGTGTTGGAGCAAAGCTTGTGGGCTTTCGGGGATGCTCACCAGGAGAGAAGAGGGCCATGGCAGCCATGAGCACATACTCAGGCTCCTGGAGCTTTAGTCGCCGCAGTGTCCCATGGAAGCGAAAGAGCAAGTCCATAAACTCTGCCTGGAACCCCACTATGAGAGATACAAGACTTAGGATCCTCCAGGTTACCTGACCACCTACCATACCATAAGGACATATGCCCTCTGCTGCTCCAGCACTATCGCACCTTGGATTCCATCTTCCATTGTGTAGCGAAGGGGTCCGCAGAGGAAGTTTTGTGTTTGGAGACAGAAAGTGGTATTGAGTGCAATGTGACAGATTTCCACAGCTGCTCCCTTGAGAAGGGAGATCTGGTCCTCCATGGGCAGAGACCTGTAGGGAGCAGGAAACAAGGGGACTTTAGATTCTAGCCTGAACCTCAGAGAGGAGAGGTACTCCCACTCCTGATTGAGACATTTACAAACAGAGCTAGGAATTCAAGTCCTAAAGTTTGGAAAGGCTGAGGAATGGGTTAATTTGGTCAATAATTGTGTGTGTGTGTGTGTGTGTGCGCGTGTGTAATACACTGCAGTATTGGCTTTCTAAAATGTGATGGGAGGTCACTCACCGGAAGAAGGGCAGATCCTTGGTGAACTTGATGACTTGCTGTACCATGAAAGTGCTGATGTCTGCAAAATGCTTGAGCAGAGGCAGCACAGGGGCCAGAGTGGGCCAGGGCTGGTGGTGATGGATGAACAAGTGAGCTGGAGGCTGCAGAGATCAGAGCATGAGGCCTTGGCCCTGGGACCTCTCTAGCCTTATCTTGGAAGGGTTCTGGGCTGAGGAGCCTGCCAGGCTAGGGTTCTGGAGAAATACTGTACTTGAGATCGGTGCTTGGCATGCAGCTCTTCTCCCTCAGGCCAGCTTCCTTAAACCCCCTTTTGGTCATACATCAGCCCAAATCCTGCAAATGCTTACTCTGAACTGTACAAACTGGTCAAACATGTTGCCCATGTGGCAAGTGTGGGCCTCCAGGAGTGTCTGGATCAGCTTCTTCTGTTCCTTACTCAGCTGCATAGGTGCTTGCTCTGCCCGCTGCTGGGCCTGCTTTGCTCGCCGCAATGCCAGGGCTTCTGCTGACAGGATCACTGTGCCGGGCAAGAATTGAGACAAAGCTATGCAGAACAGCAGAGAGCACCTTTCTCTGTCCACCTTGGGCCTGAGGTTCCTCAGTTGCCCTGCACAATGGAGGGTAGAAGGAGGAGGGTTCCAAGGGTTTTCTTGGCCTTTACAGCTCATGGTGGCAGGGGGTTCCTGCACTCTCACCAACACTGAGGCACTGCAACAGAAATCAGTGCCCTGTGGGAGAGAAGGGAAGGGTAGAGAGCAAAGCAGGAAAGTTGTAAGACAATGATTGGTCTGTGAGGAGATGTGAAAGGGAGAGAGGTCTTGATACCTAAAACAATACCTCATCCTTGCATAGTTCTATAATTTTAGTGGTTCCTAGGTTAAATCTCACTGGATGGAAACAACCCTATGGGTGGATAGGGCAGGTATTATCACTCATAGTTTTCAGGGTTAGAAATATTCCAGAGATGAATGGGTAACCAAACTATGGTACATTCACACAATGAAATACTATGCAATATTAAAGAAAAATGAAGAACCCACAAATCACCTCATAACGTGGATGAATTTGGAGGACATTATGCTGAGTGGGAGCTCTGGTAGCATAGTGCCTCAGGCATTTGACTGCTAATCAGAAGGCTGGCGGTTCAAACCCACCAGCCACTCCTTGGAAGGAAGATGGGGCAATCTACTTCCGTAGTGATACTGCCTCAGAAACCCAAGGAGGGGTCGCTATGAATCGGGTCCGACTCGACGGCACATAACAACAACAACATGCTGAGTGGAATAAGTCAATCCCGAAAGGACAAATATTGTATAAGCCCATTATTGTGAAAAGTTAAGGAAAGGTTTATGCAGGGAAGGAAATTTACTTTGTTGGTTATTAGGGATGGGAGGGAAGAAGAAGGAAAATTTCTAACTAGCTAAGAGTTACATGTTGATTTGGGTGAAGGAAAAGGCAATATAACAAAAGGGTATGACCAGTACAATGACAATAGGGAAAAGGAGAACACACAAACATACACAAAAGATAACAGAGGCAAATACTATTATATACACAACACTGCATTACCAGTGGCAACAAACACTAGGCTATGGGTGAAAGCATAGACAGGTAAGAAGATTAGGTGTGAGTAGGCAAATAGGAATGGACCTAAGACCAAGGATAGATTTGGCTGAAGAGAGTCTTACATATGTACCTGTGCTACAGAAATATCTATATGCAGTACAGAAATAACAGGAGACAAGGTTGGAGTAGCTTCTCAGAGACAACCAGACACCTTAAGGGAGAGAGTCACTGGGCCTACATGCTCAGGACCATAGTCTTGGGTACATAAAAATCTTGTTACACATCCTACTTTGGCAGGTAGCAACTGGAGTCTTAAAAGCTATCGAGAAGCCATCTAAGATGCAGCTATTTGTTTCTCCTTATTTGGAGCAAAGAAGAGTAAAGAAAATAAAAATCATTTGGAAACGGTAAGTCCAAGGATATGATGGACCATGGGGACCTCAGCCTTCACAAGCCTAAGACCAGAAGAACTAGATGGTGCCTGGCTACCAATGCCAACCACTCAGAAAGGCATCAAAATTGGAGATCCTGGATAGAGTGGGAGAAAAAAAATGTAGAACAAAATTAAAAAACACAAAAATGACCAGAATTACTGATCAGAGACTGGTGGAACCCCCAAGACTATGGCCTCAGGTTATCCTTCAGGCCTGCAACTGGACTCACTTCTGTGGATTAGCTCTCAACCAAAGAGTAGAAAGACCTACAAGCAGAAGGCCTACCCCAAGGAGATGCACCCCCAAGACCAATCAACCATGAGACATCAGGAGGGCAGTATTTGCACAGAAATAAAGCTGGACAGACAGGAATGCATAGGTTAGAAGGGCACAGGCAAGGGATAGTCACAGGAAAGAGATGGGAAGAGAGCTTTTTATGGTTGGGGATTGTAATCGGGGTATGAAGCCAAATATGCATGAACTGTTGTGAGTAAAACGAATTTGTTTGTAAATTTGTACACATATCACAATAAATAATAATAATAAATAAATAAAAGAAATGTTCCAGAGACTGGTCCAAGGCCACAAAATATGTAAGCAATGTATATTGAATTCAAACCAAAATCTTTTGACTTCTATCATTTCCTTTCCACTGCTCTGTATTGAAAAGTAGTGTGATGTCATGGAAAAAAACAAGAGTTTGGGAGTCAGACAGACTTGAATTTGGATACTGGGTCATAACTTTTTAGCTGAGTGAACTTGAGTAATTTAACTTCAAGCCCCAGTTACGTCATCTATTGGGAGCATAGCAATATACTCTCTGGCACAGAGAAAGCATTAAATAAATTAATTCAACAATTACTGAGTACCTACTAGATGACAGGCACTATACTCAGGAGACAGAAGAGGAGAAACAAGCCATATGAATATCTACAGGAAGAGTATTGCAGGTAGAGGAATTAAAAGAGTAAATACAAAAGCCTTAGGGGAGGATATGCTGGTGTGTTTGAGGATGTCAGGGAAGTCAATTTTGGTTAGAATGGCTCAAGCAATGGGGAAAGAGTAGGAAATAAATTCTGAAAGGTGGAGTGGGAGAGCTTGGCCATGTAGGTCATGAGATTACATACCCTAAAAATGATGGGGAACCACTGGAGCTTTTGAGCAGAATAGTGACATACCTAACTTATTTCAAAAAGCTTACTCTGCTGCTGTATGGAAAGTGAACTTGCTCTTTAAACTTTCACCCAAATCACAATTAAAAAAAAAAAAAAAGCTTACTCTGTCTGCTATAAGTGAATATGCTGGGACAAGGAAGAGCGAGCAGAGACTGAGTTAGTAGATTCTTGGGATGGTAAGGGGCCACTTACTGTCCTTCCTCATGCCAACATTTAGGCACTTCTGCAACCTGCAGGCTGGGCAGTGGCGCCTCTGGACCTTACTGACCTCACAGCTTCCAGCAAAGGGGCAGGTGAGACCAATATTTTTGCTGGCTGTTCGTCTGTGAGAGACAGGCATTGTTAGGAACAGGGACGGCAGTGAACAGGCAGGTGGGTATGTGATCTGAAAGCCTGGGAATCTGGTGACATAGGCTGGTCTGTACTGTACACAAGGGTCCCCAAATGTGGTTCAAGCATTTCCATGGTGACACAGTTGACATAGTTCTTAGCTTGGTGATTTGTAAGTAGTGGGTGCATGATAAGTACTCTTGACTAATGGGGCATGTCTATAGGACAAATGTTTGGCCTTCTCTCTGTTTCTACAGTGTTGGGGTTGGCAAGAAGTGGTATCTAGCTACAGGATTGTTGGGTTCTAGGGTACAAGAGTAATTAGCTGGAAAAGCTCAGGTATGTTTCAGGACTCAAAGGCTGACTGACAGGTAGTTTGGCGGGTGTTTTTCTATTGGGGAGGAGGCTCTCACCTGAAGAAACCCTTGCATCCCTCACAGGTCAAGGCATGGAAGTGATAGCCTGTGGCTCGGTCTCCACATACCATACAGTTCCGTGGCTCATCTTTTTCACTGGCCATGGCCTCAGGTGTTGGGGTAGCCTTCACAGACCCCTGAATGTGGAAGGGGTTAACAGTTAGCTCTGGACCACCCTTGGCCCTCTTCTCCCTTCTGCAGAGCCTCTACCCAAACTTACCCTAGGTCTGACCCCCAGCATTACCTCTATTTATTGCTTTTAGTCTTTGCCACCCAACAGATTTCCTACCTGCTCTTCTTAGGCATCATGTCACCTTCAGGTCAAGAGTCTGGTGTGGGATGTCTCTCCTCTACCTCTTACCCTGACTCTGCTTTCCCTTTGATCTCAGGAGCTGCCAGTATTTGGAGTTAGGGATTATGGCCCTCAATACCTGGAAAATAAGAGACATCTCTTGTCCGTGGCTTCCAGTCGCTCTCAGTGACTGCCTAGGCTGGGCACAGACTCTGGACCCAGGGCAAAGGACTGGGTTGGGGGCAGGTTTTCCCAGCATGCCTATGGTGTGGTGCTGGTTCCTGGCACATTGGAGAGGAAGTCTGATGGGTGAAGGCCTCATGCCTCATTAGAAACTGCTCCTTATCAGGCCCACTGAGGTTTTTTCTACTGCCGAGCTTCAAGCCTAGATCTGCAGCTCCTCTGTATGAAATCTTAGATAAGCGGGAAGAGAGAAGGAGAGACTGAGCAAGCTTGTTCACAAGCAGTATGTCAATAGTAAAAGAATAGAGGTAAAATTGCACAAGGCTCCCAAAAGGAAAGTTTTAAACATGAGACTGGGGTCTAAAAAAAAAAAAAAAAAAAAAACCTAACTCACTGTCATGGTGTCATGGAGTCAGTTCCGACTCACAGCAACTCCCCTTGGGTTTCCAAGGTGATAAATCTTTATGGAAATAGATTGCCCATTCTTCCTTCCGTGTAGTGACTGGTGAATTTGAACCACCAACCTTCTGGTTAGCAGTCAAATGCCTCAGGCACTATACCACTAAACCTCCTTAGGTCTAAGTAAGAGCCTGTGTAAAAAGCTAAAATAAATCCTACTTTCTAACTAGGAAGGGCTGAGAACTAAATCATAGTGCTCTCTAATAAATTATAGGTAATTGGGGTTCATTTGGAACTCTTGGACCAGAGCTGGTTTCATGGGGTTGTGTGTGCTCTAAGAAGTGTTCCATGTTTGCTTTAATGCTCTGCTTTTGCTGTCTTGAAATTCTCAATTTTTGAACAAGATGTTCTATATATTCATTTTGTACTGAGGCCCACAAATTATGCAGCTAGTCCTGTCTTGGACCCAAGATGAAAGAATCAGGAGCTTCTAACATGCTTAAGAATCAAAATCAGGAGTCTTTATTGGAGTTGTAACCCACCAGGGAGTTCTGGTAGCATAGTGCCTAAGGCACTTGACTGCTGACCGGAAGGCTGGCGGTTCAAACCCAAAGGAAGATTGGGCAATCTACTTCCGTAGTGATACCATCTCAGAAACCCAAGGAGGGGTTGCTATGAGTTGGGTCCGACTTGATGGCACATAACAACAACAACCCACCAGCCATTCCACAGAGGGAAAACCAGGCAATCTACTTCTGTAAAGAATTACCACCTCGGAAACCCAATGGGGGCCACTATGAGCTGGAATCAACTTGATGGCAATGGGTTTGAAGGAAGACTGGACTGCATAATATGGATGAACTTGGAGGACATTATGCTGAGTGAATTAAGTCAATCACAGAAGGACAAACATAGTATTAGTTTGTTGTTGTGGAGGGTCAAGGAAAGGTTTATATATGGAGGGAAACTTTTTTTGTTGGTTGCCAGGGGTGGGAAGGGAAGGGAGAGAACACTGAAAAAAAAAATGCATTAACCCATGTCACTTTAGTTTTGTGTATTTCACTGTACATAAATTATATTTCAATAAAATGCATTAAAAAAAAAAAAAAAGAAGAAGAAGAAGAAGGAAGACTGGGCAATCTACTTCCATAAAGATTTACCTCTTTGGAAACCCAAAGGGGGTCACTATGAGTCTGAATAGACTCGATAGCAGTGAATTTGAAGTTTGGTTTGGTTCAGTGCTCCATTGACACTGAAGGAAATTACATATACACATACATATATACGATACAAACATATTTTTTCTCTTCTAACATCAATGAATAGGAAAAAAAAAAAAAAGCTATTTTAAAAGCTATTGGATGTTTTGGGGATGGGTAATATGTCTTTGCTTGAGTGCAATTCTGTGAGAGTTAATACAAATTTATTTAATCAACTGATACTGATTAAAAACCTAGTACTGTTAGATATTAAGAAGCTCTGGTGGTGTAGTGGTTAAAGCATTTGGCTGCTAACCAAAAGGTCAATGGTTCAAACCAACCAGCTGCTCCATGGAAGAAAGATAAGTCAGTCTGCTTCTGTAAAGATTTATAGCCTTGAAAACCCAATGGGGTTGCTATGATTCAGAATTGACTAAATGGCAGTGAGTTTGGTTGTTTGGTTAGATATTAGGAATATAAAGGTGAATAAGATGTTCTTGTAGAGTTGAAATTCTAGTGGGGAGACAGACTTTTAAACAGCTAGAAAGGAATATAGTCAGATCAATGATGGTGCTTTGCACAGAATATTATGGAACCACAGAAGAGGAGCAACTAATCCTGCTTTGGCAAAGAGGTGTTGAGGAAGAGACAGGAAGGCTTCTGGGAGGAGTGGCAAATGAGTTGATTTTTGAAGGATAATAGGGAGCTCTGGTAGCATAGTGCCTAAGGCACTTGGCTGCTAACCAGAAGGCTGGCGGTTCAAACCCACCAGCCACTCCTCGGAAGGAAGATGGGGCAATCTACTTCCATAGTGATACTGCCTAGGAAACCCAAGGAGGGGTCGCTATGAGTCGGGTCCGACTCGATGGCACATAACAACAACAACAACAATGAGGAGTGAAGGTAAAAGATAGTCTTGGCATAGACTACAACTTGAGAAGTTCAAGGACCACATATAAAAAGAGATAATGATAGAACTACAAACAGACCTCTCTTGATGGAGCATAACATTTCAGGCTGAGAGTGGGAAGAGATAAGGGTAGAGGAGCTGGGCTGTAAGACTTAGGTTTAGGCAGGCCAGATCACAGGAGACCTTATGTGCCAGGCTAAAAGCCTGAGTCCATCAGGAAGCTTTTATAGGATTTTAAGGTGAGAAGCAGCAGGGTCCAATCTGTATTTTAAATAGCTCACTCCACTGGCTGTTTGGAAGATGTATTTGAGGGGTCAGAACTAGAGGCAAAGAGACCAGTTACAAAGATATTGCTATAATGTAAGTGAGAGAAAATTAAGCCTGAGCCAGGAAAGTGGTAAGATATAGAGGAGGAGAGAGAGGGTTTTGAGAAATAACAAACCAAAACCAAAACCACTACCACTGAGTTGAGTCTGACTTGTAATGACCCTATAGGGCAAAGTGGAACTTCCCCATAGGGTTTCCCAGGCTGTAAGTCTTTAAAGAAGTAAACTGCCTCATCTGTCTCCCACAGGTTTGAACTGCTGATCTTTTGGTTAGTAGCCAAATGACTTAGTCACTGCACTACCAGAGCTCCTTTTGAGAAATACAATGAAGGTAAAATCATTGGTATTTATTGACTACTAGAATGTTAGGTTGAGAAATACAAGTGAAGGGTGAAAGATGACTCCAGGTTTCTAGCTTGAGTGACTGAGTGGACCGTGGTACCACCAACTGGAAGGTACTATAGGAAGAGGAAAAGAAACCTTTATACTTGGACCTTGATCCACTTCCACATGGAAGGAAGACTGGGCAATCTACTTCCGTAAAGATTTACCAACTCGGAAACCCAAAGGGGATTGCTATGAGTTGAAATCAACTTGATGGCAGTGAGTTTGGTTTTTGGTTTTTGATCCACATCCACAGTCACCAATTTTACTCTAGCAATAAGTTATTAAGTGTTCACTCTGTGATTAGGCACTGTGGGGATAGATAAAAGAGGTCTTTTTTGCAGAGAAATTTACACTATAAATAAATTAAACTGCATAAATAAATTAAACTGTTAGATTTTGCAAGGTGGTTGTGAAAAGGGTGTGAGGACAGTGACCTCCTCCAACTTCACAAAACCAAAAAAAACAAACTCACTGCTGTCGAGTCGATTTTGACTCATAGCTACCCCTCCTTGGGTTTCTGAGGCAGTATCACTACGGAAGCAGATTGCCCAACCTTCCTGCAGAGGAGTGGCTGGTAAGTTTGAACAGCCAGCCTTCTGGTTAGCAGTCAAATGCCTTAGGCACTACACCACCAGAGCTCCCTCTAACTTCACAAGGGGGCAGAAAGATCTATAGCAACAACCTAAGGCTGATTCCTATGAAGCAGAGGTCAGACCTGCCTCCACCCTCCAACCTTTTTCACAATTTTGACATCAACCATCCCTCCCATAGCACTCTACTTCTCTGCAGGGTTTGTTAGGGAAGTAACAAGTTAAAATTCAGGATCAGAAATGATTAGAATACAGTTCTTCCTCAAGACATCCTCTCTTTAGTCATGCCCAAAGGCAGGCCTTTCTTCGGCCCTCAACCCCTCAGCCTGGTCTCTGCTTGGGCAAGTGTTACAAAAACTCTTTTAGCTCCACTGATAAATGCCTAGAGGCAAAATACTCCACCAGTAAACATCAGCCTGAAGACACTCGACTTTCCTGGTCTGTGGGTCAGTGAGCCTAGCTACATGGACACATGCCCAGAGGCATCATCCCACTCTGCCCCAACCCTTCTGCCCTGCAGCTTTCTCACTCACTTCCCAGAAGCCCACTGTTCTGTCTCTTGATTCAGCTGCTTCTGCTGTTGTTATTTCTCTATGCTTCTTACCATCTCTGTGTCCCAGCTTTCTGTCTCCTGAATCAAGGAGGATCAGCACATGGATCTTGGTCCAAAGGATGCGCTCCACTCCTAGCTCTTCTTCTTGATAGTGTGAGATCCCCTCTTTCCACCTCTGGGATGGCTCATTTTAAACCTAGAGAGATAGCAAAACTGACCAGTCCCCATACTGTTGTTATTGTTGTTATGTGCCATCGAGTTGGTCCCGACTCATGGCAACCCCTCCTTGGGTTTCCGAGGCAGTATCACTATGGAAGTAGATTGCCCCATCTTCCTTCCGAGTAGTGGCTGGTGGGTTTGTCCCCATATTAGGTTTCCATAAATGTCATTTGTGTGGTCTAACCCCCACAGGGTGACAGGTACCTTATTTACATTAACAAGCTATCAATCCTCTTGCATTTGCATAGTCTCACCCAGTCATCTAGTAGGAATCACAAAGACCGTTGCTAGAAGGACCATGCCAAGCAATTCACAGCACCACAGAAGTATATAATCAAACTGTGTGGTAAAGATTATGCATATTATAAGCATTAATTAGTTCATTAATTTATTCTT